AATTAATGAAAACAAATAAATAACAGAATATAGAGAAATGCCGGTAAGTGTCGAGCACTCGGGAATAGTGATTTTCAGTACAGATGGAATTATATTTACAAAATGATGACTAGTGTGTGATATTTTTGAAATTGTGTGTTTCCAGAAATACATAAAAAAATATATGATGAATATCGATGATGTTAGATGATAAAATGTGTGACATGGAACCTATGATAGTCGAAACCATGGGACGATTCCTGAGGTATCTCTACTTGTAACCGACTTCTTCGGACTTGAATTTGTTTTGTGTCTGTTCAAAGACAATCGTTTTTAGAGTGTAAACTCCGGTCGTGCGTCGGAGCTGACACACACAATTTTTTTAGCAAAAGGATGGGGAAAGCCACCATTTTCAAAATTAAATTTAAATAACTAGATTTTGGTACCGAACAATCTATTAAGGTGACGATAGACCGTGTCGAGTCCGAGCAGAGCTTCAGCCTAGCACGGTCACCGAGCCGATCCCGTACCTGTAATTTACAAAGACGTGCTTCGACCGAGCAATTAGGTAGGTACCGTTGTGCCGTGATGCAGTTTATTCATTCAGATAAAGTAAATAGGGTAAGTGTACTCGTCCGAGCAAAAACGTTTTTTGTTTTGTCTGAGGTATCACTACGATTGCCCGGCGGCACAGCGCCGTGCGCTGTATTCATGCAACGGGCCGTGCCCGTACCAAGGCGGGACCAAGTTTTTTCCGAGCGTTGTTTCAATTGTTGCTCGGTTGTCAGTCGGTTATACCAACCAACCTATGGTAACAGCCCGCTGTGATAAAATCCTGACTATTCATACATTTGATAGAAGATATCAAATAGAACTACTAGGACTGGTCAGGCACAGACGAACTACGCATTTACACTAATGGATCCAAAATACCAGGATTCGGATCAGGCGCAGGAGTCTTCTCATTGGACCTTAACATCCATAATATATCAACAGCACTGGGTAATCACAGCTCAATATTCCAATGTGAATGTATAGCCATTACTCAGGCCACCATCGCTATCATTAATAGGAAAGTCAAAAACTACAAGATACGTATATTATCTGATAGTATGGCTGTCCTAAGAGCCCTAGATAGTAACAGCAAAACTTCTGGGCTAGTATACGAATGTCACCTGGCATTGGAGTACATAGCAACGGATAACAAGGTTATCCTCCAATGGATCAAGGAACATAGCGGTTCTGTGGGTAATGACGCAGCCGACGAATTGGCTAGAAGGGGATCATCACAGAAAGTAGAAGGCCCTGAGCCACTTCTGCCATTACCTTCCAATCAGTTTCGTACATGGGTGCGGCAACGAACCACACAGAACCATAACACCCGTTGGGCGAATAACGAGGGCTGCAGGCAATCTAAGGATATTTTTCCCAACCTCAACCCCAGACTAACTAGAAAACTACCAAATCTTAACCGAAATGATCTCTGAGTAATGCTAGGCACCATAACAGGGCACTGCCCACTTACCAGCATTTACTAACCATACGCGTTACAGATAGCTCTCTATGCAGAGGATGTCTGGAAGCAGATGAAACGGCCGCTCATGTGATCCTGGAATGCACGAGCGTTGCAGAACACCGGGCATCAATCCTCAGGAAGCCGAGGACGCTCCTAGAAGCCTGTGAGAGCCCCAGGAGGCTACTGCGCTTCTGGAAGGAGCTGGGCTGGCTGAGCTAGCTAGCCCAACATACCCTGCACGCACAATGGACCAAGTACGGAGTCTACGTGAGGAAACGGGGGCCCACAACAAGTAACAAGTCAGTCGGTTACCGCCCGGAATAACGTGAATGTGTTAATAACCCATCTAAAATATATTATTTAATATTAGTTAACTAGAGGAGCTCCATGGCGCAGGTGGTTAGCGCGTTCGGCTGCGATCGTTGAAGTTAAGCAACTTTCGCAGTGGTCGGTCATTGGATGGGTGAACAAAAATCTTCTATCTCGAGTTCCTCCGGCTGCATCTGCAGTCGTTAGCACCCGCCAACCCGCACTGGGCCCGGGCCCAATGTCCCTATTCCATCCATAGGGAAGGCCTGTGCCCCAGCAATGGGGACATTAATAGGCTGATGATGATGATTACTTAACTCTGCTACGACCGACACGATCTAACGTGAATCATCCTTGACAATTTCTCGCATCGTAAATTCTCAATCCAGCGCATTTATCTATACCTAGGTACCCATGGTTATTAATTTCGGTTTCGGTAAGAGGTTGTAATCATCCCCTCGGCTGTTTGTGAAAATTTTGCTCTCATTTATTGTATGATCTGAGATGCGTAACCTATTTTTATCTTTTTTTGTTTCTATCAGTTTTTGGCGAGGTCGTCCCAAATCCCAATTATTCATTTGGTGACGATGCCAAGTACTTTCATATATATAAAAAAAAATTCTTCATAAAAACAAAGGATGGAACAAATAATACATTAAAGTCGAATTTGAATTTTTGATTGGAATGCATGTCACTGACACCTTACCTATTATTTTGTTAATTATTTGACTATGTAGTTACTTTAAATATAAGTAGGTATTACTTAACGAATTAGTACATAGATTTTTTTACCTGTTTAGCTTGTTTTTATATGAAGTGGATTTTTATTTGTGTTAATAAAGATTTTACCTTAAATTATTTAGAATTTTATACAAGATATACGTATACATTACCTACGAAGTACCACAAAAGCGCAAGTGTAACGCGTCCATTCTGCGATCGTGAACGTTAAGCAACTCTCACAATGGCCGATCTTAGGATGGGTGACCAACCAAAAATGTATTAAATCGAGTTCCTATGTTGCTGCTCGCAGCATCTGTAGTCGTTAGCCCCCACTAAGCCGCATTAGGCCCGCGTGGTGGCTCATGACACATTAATAAGTTTATAATAAATCCGTATAGTAACATAGACTTACCTACCTTGTTAAAAAAAATAAAAGATCTAGCTAATATATTATTATCACCGTCGTCGTTCATTATTGTATAAAATGTATGACTTTTTTAACGAAAAAAACCCATACAGTACAGTACAGCAATCATTTACCTAATATTTGGCCCCAATTATTTACATTTAAATTTAGAGAGGACCTCCGTAGGTCCTTCTTAAATTTAGTGTGACATTTCTAATTTTAGAGAAAATGTCATTTAGAACGCGTTTCAGAATACCATTTAATCATCTTAATCTAAGTTGAATAACTTAGCGACGTCAATTTAAAATTTAGAGATAGTGTGTCATTACAGAATACCAAATTGAATTTGACAACTCTATATATAATTTTAATTAGTTTTAGATATAAGTTGGCACGCCAGAATGGCCCAGCAGTCTCTCTTTTTCATTCTGTATAGAGAATGACAAGGATGCATTGTTGTCAAATTTAAGTTTAGCTTTAGAGAATCATGCCAGAATCGACATCATTGTAGTTATAATTAAGAAAAACATTGTCATCAACACCAACCGTTTTAAATCGAAAAAAATGGTTTATTTCGGTTTTAAACAGTTTTTTTCGTTTTAAACGGATTGGTTTAATTGGTTTTAAACCGGCCTTAGGGTACGGCCAGAGTGCACTCAGATTCAGATTCAGATTCCGAAAACAAGCGCAAGGGTGCGGCCAGAGTGCACTCAGATTCAGAGTCAGATTCAGATTCTGAAAACAAGCGCGAGAAATAAACAGTTTAGTCTAAGCAGGTTGCCTGCTTTTTCTCGCGCTTTGTTTTCTGAGTCTGAATCTGAATCTGAATCAGGAGTGCAATCTGGCCGTACCCTTCGACTACACTGTTTATTTCTCGCACTCTGGCCGCACCCTTAGGGTGCGGCCAGAGTGCACTCAGATTCAGAGTCAGATTCAGATTCTGAAAACAAGCGCGAGAAATAAACAGTGTAGTCGAAGGGTACGGCCAGATTGCACTCCTGATTCAGATTCAGATTCAGACTCAGAAAACAAAGCGCGAGAAAAAGCAAGCAACCTGCTTAGACTACACTGTTTATTTCTCGCGCTTGTTTTCGAAATCTGAATCTGAGTCTGAATCTGAGTGCACTCTGGCCGCACCCTTACATCTACTCGCGCTTGTTTTCTGAGTCTGAATCTGATTCTGAATCTGCGTGCACTGTGGCCGTACTCTAACTTACAATCGCGTAGGAAGGAACATTGTCAATTTTTTTTGTTTGTGTGACGTGTATTTTGAAGTGTGTGTTCATAGAAAAAACACGCTCGTGTTTGTTGAGTATTGCATAATTTCGTTAGAATGCTATATGTGTGTACTTCGTTCTCCGCCAGAATTGACACAAACTTTTTGTATGGAATGAAGTGCTAAGTAGATACCAGTGTTACCAACCCCCCTTACCAAAATTTTCCCCTAAGTATATTTTAAATTCCTCTAAAATCCCCTAAATATGGAATTTTATATTGTCCTACTTATTACCCAAATACTTTCGTTGCTCATAAATTAAAACGTTACATACATTTTTAATTGCAAGTTTTAATAAAAGCCCCTAAAAAACCCCCAAAAAATTCCAGCCCCTAAAAAGTCCGTTTTAACACTTCTAGCCCCTAAATCTAGGGGCAAAACCCCTAAGTTGGGAACCGTGGTAGATACTCAAAGGCCGGAACGGGCTACGTTCCGAATCTACGCTCTCAGTGTAACTTCAAACCCCGATATGACGTTTTTGACATAAAATGTATGGAACAAATGTCAAAATGACATTAGTTGAACCTGAAACGTAGCGTGGGTTGGAACGTAGCCCCGCGCGACGCGGCGGACCGGCGGCGCTGCGCGGTTGTCGGCCATTTTGATTGCTTTGAAAACGTAGTAGGAGCGACGTGCGATTTTAGTTCTACGATAATATATTAGGAATAATTGTGGCTATCAAATCAAATAAATAAGGAAAATGGGCGACCGTAAGTTGAACTTATAATTTTTACAAGGCACAATTAAATTAGGTGGCTATTTATATGATTAATATTTCATAACCTCATCAGCATTCGCATCAAGCGATTATAGTGGTGGCGGTGGATATTCTTCTCAATACTCTGTACCACCACCACAAATGTCATCTGCTACAGATAATAACTACGGATCTGGAGGGCAAGCTGGTTACAATCAAGGGAGTTATTCTAGTCAGCCTGGTGGTCAAGAATGGAACCAACAAAGTTCTGGTAATAACTTAAGAATCATATTTTGAACTATGCCCAGGTTGGCTAACTTTAACCAAAATAAAGCGTCCTTTATGTATTTTTTTAATTTTAGGCGGAAATTCTTACAACAGTGGTCAGTCAGGAAATTCTTACAATCCAGGCTATGGTTCAAGTTATGGAAGTGGAAGCTATGATCAAAATAGTTCAAGTAATTATGGCAGTGGGAGCGATCGTGGTGGGAGCAACTACAGCGGTAATGGTGACCGTGGAGGATCAAGCTATGGAGGAAGCCGAGGAGGAAGTAACTATTCCAACAACGATCGTGGAGGCTTTGGAGGTGGGGATAGATCAAGCTATGGTCGAGATGGAGGAAATAGAGATGGAGGCTACGGGTAAGTTTTATTTTATATGTTTTATATAAAAACACATAATGTTAGTCCATTATATATTATTGAATGAAGTTACGCACATTTTATATCTAGCAAGAGACAAAAAAATACTTTGAATATATTGTGCTTTTACATTGCATTGAGGGTGGCTACTGGCTAGACTTTATGAGTGACTGCAGTGCAGCATTGGTAGAAGCTGTGCTATATTGGAAACAGCAGCTCCTCTTTGTAATATTGGCTCATTAGAATATTGGCTCCTGATATTTGTTTACTTCATCACTGTCTGTGGCCTTTACTGGGAGTTGGTGTGGTTTTTTTTTTGAGCGAAAACCTAGTGATTGGTAAAACTGTACTTTCTGGGCCCAGGAGTTGACGATCCACAATTTTTTGTTTTAAAGATCTCTGTTACAGATGTAACTGTGCAAAGTCTTCATGCAAGCACACTGGTAGTTGTTAAAAAAAAAAGTTAATTTTTCTTAAAACAAATTAACACCATTTGACAAATTACATAGATGTCTTTTTAATATTCTCATTTATTGGAAAGGCAGAAGAAACAGCACATACAGCCATACAACAACAAGATTATTTCATAGAGAAATATTTAGTGGTCCACTTTTTGTTTTAGCAGGATTGTGTTTTTATTTGATTGTTAGCACAAAATTTTTACATAATTTATTTTGTATGAAGTGACAATGACCTGTTTAAAAAGAAAAATAAACATTTTAATTAAAAAAAAAGTACCAGTGTATAAGTGAGGAAATTTTGCATAATATTTTAAACCAAAAAATTTGAAAGTGTTAACTCTCAGGGCCAAAAAGTACATTTAGTCAGTGTGGTAAGGTGTGAGGGTTTCACTGATAAAGACGATACAACTAAACATCAGGTGAAGTGGTTAGTTTGCTTTGCCTCATAAAAAAATCATAAAAAACAAACCAAGCACGAACAATCAGCGAGGACGTATCCTTATCGCCATTTCAAAGTTTCTATGGAAAAAGCTAATTTGTTATTACATTGGGTAGGAGTGCTGCTTAATTTCCATAGAATTGAATTTGGCGATACGAATATGGATCTGTCAAAGTTCCTCTTATGATGACTTGCTTTGTGACTTATCACAGCTCGATGGTTGGGATACTGAAGTGACAAAAAATTACAGTTGACAGAATTCTTTTGAATTAAAAAATCACGACTATAGTTGAGGTTTTATGACATTAGTAAAATCTACACAGTTATTTAAATAGTACAGGCTACAATCCCACTGCATATAAAAACATGATGGGGGAATGTTTTTATTTTCAGGCTACTTTATTTTTACCTTTTCCGATTTTAATAGCCCAACAGCTATTGCGAATATTCATGGTTTTGACACTGGCTGGTTTAATGCTGCAAACCTAAGGGCGCCTGTTAACGAGACGATTTCTACCCAGACCGTTACTGGCTAGGCTTGTGCCCTTGAGGCACGGTTTGTACGTGTGTACCGACCCCAAACCATCGCTAGCGACGGAGTCGTTAAAAAACCTCTACAGTGTCCCATACCTAACTGATGAACGTGGGCTGGTCGGCACGGTTTTTAATCGTGGCTAGACCTGTACCCAACTACGAAAAATATGATAGTTTTCGTGAGTTCGCACTCGTAATAAGGGTACTGATTTTATTGTTTTCGTTTCAATACAAATAGACAGTTTTTAAATTCTATCATTAAATCATTTGCGTCTTCTTAAATTTTAAGTATTTCTTTACTTTTCACCAAAATGAACATAGAAACATAATTTACAATTACGAAAACTATGATAGTTTTCGTGAGCTCAAACTCGTACTAAAGGTACTGGATAGAAATCGTCTCGTTAACAAGCGCCCTAGCAAAGACGAATAAATCTAAAATTTGGTTTACTATTGAATCGCTTATTTAAATCTGTGTTTTCCAAATTCGGGAATTGTTCCAAATTCCCCTTAGGGGCGCTTGTTAACAAGATGATATACCCGGGGCGGTGCCGGCTAAGTTTGTTCACGAGCACGGTTTGTATCGACTTCAAATCGCGGTTATAGCAAGTCTCCGTACGTCGCCAACCTTATGGCTAGATCTCACTTAAATAGCTGCTGACGTTGGACGACGAAAGAAAGCGATTGGCCGAAGAGAGACAAGACAAGTGCAGGTTGACCACGTGCTGCCCGTAGTTCGTGAGCTGGTACCAAGGCGGCCGCACCGCTACGCACTGCAATAATTAATGAAGTAGAGATTTTTATACAAAGAATACGGTTTAACTTTCGGCAATGTCGATTTGAGCACCAACCATGTAGGATGACAAGTTATACGCTTTCTCGAAAGAGCGCTTAAGCTGTCGTGCAGTGCACGGTTGGTTGACAGGGTAAGAAAATCCATAGCGACGCGATGTTTGTATATTTCTAAGCGTCACTGTATTGGACTTATACTCTGTTATAGTGTTATGGTCATAGTATAAATTGTGTTACGGTGTTAACGGTATAACTGTTACCGGCCAAACCCGATTTTAGGACCGACTAGTTTATTCTGTTATCCTTAAGGCGATAGCATAAACCGATACAGAGTCCGATACAGAGTGGGCTACTCTGGCTGAATTAAGCCTAATATAAATATGTACACTTCAGGATAAACTGGATTAACCAGATCTCTAAATAGGGGAAAATAAAACACCAGGGGGCCATTCGCATAACGGAAATGTCTTGGAAAACGGTAACGCTTACGATTTCATTTTGTTATTTCTAGCCGCCTGAGGTTTTTAAATGCCTGTGGCTCTTTTTTTTCTTTTGCATTGGTAATAACAATATTAAAAAAATGAGCGTGAGGTATTTGAAAACCTTCGGCGGTCGGAAATAACAAAATAAAATCGAGGGCGTTAGCGTTTTCCAAAGCATTTCCGTTAGGCGAATGGCCCCCAGAACTATTATAATCATGATGAAGGTATAAATGAAATCAATGAAATGATATTTCAATAACTTGGTTATCATCGTCCATATCTAGAAATGTTTTGCTTAACCACGAAGACATTTATCGCTAATGCACATTCCACTCAAACGTTTTTGATTTGGCAGAATCAGTACAGACCAGGCTAAATATTTTTTCCTGCAGTGTACTTATTCATATTAGGCTCAACTATTTCAGAGGTCAAACTAGTTTCTCCTATCTATTCTAGAACGAACTAGTTTAGCCTAGTTTGTATCGGTTTATCCTATCGCGTAAAGAATGAATTGGTTTGGCCTAGTAAAAAACTAGTTTGTCCTAAAATCGGGTTTGTCCCGGTAACATAACCATCGTATTATTTTGAAAAAGTGTATAAAAGATTTAGTCTCAAGGTCTATCAATTAATCGATAATGGTGTTTACAGCTATGGATAAAATCCGGCAATCTTGTGAACAAGCTACACTCTTTTTATCAGCTTAAGTAAAGGTCGTCTTTCCTCTGGATTGGTAGAGCGGTATATGAGCCACCACGCGGGAACAGTGTGGGTGCTAATTATGCAGATTAACAGCATCTAAGCGTCCAGATTAATTTGTATTTAAGATTTAATTTCATAAAATTTGTATTGCTAATGTGATTAATCTGTACAGTAATGTGATTAAACTTGTACCGTACGTGGGCGAGTCGAGTCACGTGGGTGATTTTTTTAACAATTCACTAAGAGCTTGAAATAGAGATTCAGCTCATCCATCGCTTTACGCAAAATCGTCAACGGCGGTGGCTTCTCTATATTAATGAACAAATACACATATTATGCCGATATAACGTAAACAGCACAAACATAGACAACGTAGCTAGCGAAGGAAAATTTTAGTTTACACAATTGCCGGTAGGGTTGTATTATTTATAGTAAAAAGAAGTTTTAGAGTAAATAAATTACACTAGTTAAATAATTACACTTTTTCAAAATTCTGTATTAAAAAGATTATACTTGTATTTACACTATGCTACTGTTAGCATGCATTTAAAATGATAATTATATTGTTATTTTTATAATGAATGTCTTGCAAAAATGTTCTCTAAGATTTTCAAGGTATCACGGTATAAACATTGTGGTAAAGGGAAGGATTCGACAGTTGGACTGAGGTCACTGGATACAGTGTACCTAGGTGTTGGTCAATCTACGTGCGGCGTACAAGTGTCCCCAGCCTGCCCAGTGTACTAAACGCTGTTTTTATTGTTTTAGTGGCGGCGGCAGGGGGGGTGGTTATACTAAAGGTAAAGCTCCTCGCGATAAGCGAGCGGTGCTATTGTCATATTATTAATTTGTATTTATTGAAGGGCTGCCAAACGTAGGATAATTGTATTGAGTATTGTCACTACTTGGCTGTTGACAATATGATCTTGGTATAAATAACTCTAAACGTGAGTTGCAAGTGTGTACCAGTACGGTAAGGTTGTAGGAAAACTGTTCATGTAAAAGTATACTACAAGTTACGGCATACTATAATTACAATTCTTATAATAAATATGCAATATATGTAGCTACACATACTTCTATCTATACGAATGGTTTGTTTGCAGTAAGAGTCGCAAATGTTTACATTGCTCCATTGCTAGTATAAATCATACGCACATCTCCCTTCGGCTTCCTAAAATTCGGGATATATCATAGGACTAATTTCTTTAATCATATATAAAATTACGTATTCATTGGGGAAAGACTTACAAGTTGTAGTGTGATTTATTAATTAGTAATAAGTTTCATTCCTGAGTTTTGTGGTTTTATGGTTGCCTCATGGTTTTTACATGTTTGTAGTTATTAAGCCAAGTAATTATTTTTTATAATATAGGCTTAAACTATTAATCACAATTCCGTTGTCAGCAGTCTCGTCAAGTGTAGATATTAGGTAGTACCTGTGGTTTTTGCGAAATCGTAAATGATTATACAGAGTAACTGGTACCGAGTGTGTTGGTATTAGGTTGATTGTAATCATGGCCTGAGAGCTGAAATCCTTAGTTATAAAATTTTAAATATCGACATGAATAAAATTTTACTTATCCGTTTACCGTCAGGCGGGTCATACGCTTGTTTGCCACCGTTTTAACATTAAATAAACTTTCGCGCCATGATTATAAACTTCTTAATTCATGATGACTCTTAATAAAATTACCAGAAACACTGTATATTTTTGGCAGCCCTGAGATTTGAGCAAGAATAAGGTATTTAAACAGTACCAAAGAAATATAGCAAATTGGTGTAAAATTGTGCATTGACCCTAATTTTTAAATTTTAAACTATATTTGACAGAAGTACCTTCTTACGTGCGTACTTCGTCTTTTTAGCAATTTTCTCCTGAATGCAATAAATTCTTCCAATATCACGTGTCGTTGTAAGCCATTACACGATATTTTAACTGTATTTTATTTAGAATTTGTAGTACCTTATAGAGAGTGAAAATGCTACTGTCAAATTTAGTTTGTTCGGAATATTCGTTGAAGAATAAGCCCCATCGAGTATATAATAAATAGAAAACTATCGAAAAATAGAACTACCTATGAAAGGATTACTGCCAAAGCATAAATGGTATTTTTATTAAATGGTTATTGTAACATATAAATGGCAAATTTTCATAATTATGAGTATTACTGATGGTGTGATTTGCCAAGTGTTTTCCAAATGTCGCGATGTCGGTCTGTGGAACTTGAGGCACGTAAAACTTATTAGGCACATACCCAAGTGCTTCGAGAGAATGCAAACTTTCAGTGACTATAATTTAAAAACAGAAATTTCCAAATTAATTCAATTTAAAATAAAGCAATTTTGCTTTTGACATAGTTTTTTACTTTTTGGAAATTAAGTACCAAGTATGAGGCTAATTTTTTATTAAGAAAAAACAACCAAATACTTTTAATGATTTTTTATACATAGAGTCCTGTCAAACCATAATTTATTGATTAAAAATTCAATTAATTTGGAAAACTCTTGTATTTTTTTAAAGGAGACAGTTCAAATTTCTATGGAGAGGGGTAGTGAGTTTCTGACAGTCTCCAAATTTTTTGGACATGTGCACATAATTGTAAATTTTGTTTGACAAAAAAATTGAATTTATTTTCATACCGTTTTATTTTTAAATGGTAATTATAACTTATAATTACATACATATTTAATGATTGACAAATAGCAAAAATTTATATCTAATGTTTGTTGCCAAAACATTAAATATATTCTATGTAATAGGTACCTAACTAAAGTAGTGATAATTATTCTGTAAATCTCCCATTATATTATTAGGTATTTTATGGGAATTTTATTTTAAGAAGAATCCATCATTAATTTTATTGGTATTATAATTTCACTACGATTTCACGAAAATCGTGCATGACTGGACTGATTGACGTTTGTTAGTGTTTGAGTTTGACGTTATAAGCTGCCACACACTAAAAATATGACGTTACTTATGACTGGGTGGCCAATATCCTTATGAAATTGTTGAATTTTTGAACAAAATTTGAAATTTATCGGGAATAAATATCTGTTAATGTTAGCTTTCAATTGGTATATATATCTTTCATCGCTGCTGGACACCGACTACCACTTTTGAACCGTCTCCTTTATGGTTAGGTTTACCCGCATTCATTTTGCATTTTATAGAGCGGTACCAGCTGTTTATGAGAACAGTAATTATTAAGGATGACAGACATACTTAAACCTCAACACTTCAAAAGGTTTTCATTCGTTTGTTGTCATTTTACTGATAACTAGGTAATGCTACTATACTACTAATACTTGGTATACTGGTTTCGATTCTTTTAATGACCAGAAATATAGTTTACACCCCACCATTAGTTATAAGAAGTAAGATTTACTATTCAAATATTGGGTATAATTTATGTCAGATTGGGAATCAGTCTGCTAAACTATGGTGACATACCGTATGGGTCGTTGAACATTGTACGCAACAAATAAAGTGCGAAAGGAAAACATTAACTGTGCATGTATCAGAGATATGTTGGGTTAAGTAATTCCAAAACGATGAACGTCAAACATGCTGTAACTCAATTAGTATGAGTTTATGGATACTTCTGAAATTTGTTGCAAATCTTTTAGAAAACAAGACATTTAAATTTTGCTCCTGCAAATAAGTCTACTTGTGGAATTTATTATGAAAAAACATTGGTATGATATTTTTCAAGTTGGAAATGTATACAGGGCGTCCCACCGTCAAGCCACACACATAGAGGGAAAGTATATTAAATATTGAATATACGATATTTTATTGAAAGAGGACATCATTTCATTTTTGATAATAAGCAGAACTGCATTCATATTTTTTTAACATAGCCTACCCCATCCGGTAGTCAAACTCGTGAAATGTGAAACATTTCTTTTTTAAATAATATATGTAAAAATATCATGCAATTTTACTACGTTTTATGTTAAACTAGAGGTCGCCCGCGACTTCGTCTGCGTTAACTTAGTTTCTTGATAATCCCTCTGGAACCTAACATTTTTTCGGGATAAAAGTAGCCTATGTGTTAATCTAGGGTGTCAGCTAACTCCATACCAAATTTTATTAAAATCGTTTCAGCCGTTTAGACGTGAAGAAGTAACAAACATACACACTCACATACTCACAAACTTTCCCCTTTATAATATTAATGTGATTAGTGTGATAATATTAGTGTGATAATTGGACATAAACTGCAATAAAAAGGAAATGGAGCAAGTATTTTTAAAAATCTAATTTATCAAATGTTCATAATTTTATCCATTCTGTAGTATACAAATTCTTACTCTTTTAATAATTTCTTTGCCTGTCGATTAACTTTGCGTGGTGAATGTTTCAAATAATACGTCATTAAGTTCATTTTGTAACTCCTGCACACTCATACAGGTTCTTGTAAACTAAATCTTTTACGTAACCAGTAATTAATAAATAATAATTAATAAATAATTCAGTCGCATTGTAATTGTGACCTTACAAAATAAAGCATACAAGTACCTAAATACAGCCTGTATAATTATAGCTTTATTATTTTTTTCATGTACTTATAATAAGGAAACCTTGTATTATTAAACGAGTAGGTACTGATACGTTGATAATGTTAGTTATTGGAAGCACGGAAAAGTTACAGGAAATTTTCCTAAACAAAATTTTAAGTTATTAAGAAAAACTTAATGCTTATGATTAACTTTTTCGAAGGTTACGTCATGTGATTCTTTTCCTTATTTCAGGAATTTAATTCCCGGTTGTGGCAGGCGATTTACAAAAAATCTGAATGCATTTCTACTTATTATTAAAAAGACATCATTTTATGTCTTTCAGTAAAATATCTTCAATATTTAATATACTTTCCCTCCGTATGGCAAGGCTGTGGAATGCCCTGTATATTTCCTAGAGCCCAATAATAACTTTCAGGTGTGATAATGTGTATTTGTTTAAAATTGCTATGGTTAAGGTCGGTTAGTTTTGAAACACTGCAATGACTTTAATGTAGGTACATACATACTTCTTTGTAAGGTTGGAAATCGTGCTAAATCCTCTATTATGTTGAGGAATTATGTAGACGTACGTCTAGGTGTGTTTTAGCGTTAAATACTGGTAAAAATATTCTTAGGATCAAACTGAAGTTCTCTTGTTTACGTAGAACAACAGGAGGTGCTTATTATTTACAAGAATTGTAAATTCATACTTTTACCAAGTGAAGAACTCTAAGGTGCAGAACAACATACAATTAAGGGTTCGGTAACATTCTACTCTGAGTTGTAATCATAATATCTGTGTGGCCCATTTAATAGTTTCACGAAATTTTGAAATCTCAAATGTTAGCAAAATATTTCTCCAATTGATTTACGATAGGTGTCTATCAATAATAATACTAAAATTCTGAATATTTATTTTAGCTTTTTCGACATTAAAAGTGTATACTGTTATTAAATAATATATTTCTATGTAGTATTTTCCAAGGTTTTTGATAAACAAGAAACGTAGTTTTTATTGTTTCATAGGAATATCATAAATATGTATATCTGTAACAACTTGACCTTGTGGCGATTGGTATTGTCTATAAGATTGTTAACTAGGTTTATGTGTATTAAGGTGGAGGAGGTGGTGGCTTTGGAGGCGACCGAGGGGGTGGAAGTGACATGGTCACCCAAGAAGACACCGTGTTTATTCAAGGCATGAACCCTTCCACTACTGAAGATGAATTATGTCAACACTTTGGAGCTATCGGCATTATTAAGGTTGTAATTTTGAAATAAATATATAACTTGGATTTTAATAATATGAATGCTTATATATTTTTTTATGTGCTATTATTTACAGATGGATAAAAAAACTCAGCGTCCTAAAGTGTGGATGTACAAAGATAAATCGACCGGTCAGCCCAAAGGTGAAGCCACCGTAACCTATGAAGACTCAAATGCGGCTTCGTCGGCTATTCAGTGGTTTGATGGAAAAGATTTTAACGGAGCTACTATCAAAGTTTCCCTAGCACAAAGACAGAACACCTGGGCCGGTGGAAAAGGTGGCGGCGGAGGAGGATTCCGCGGGGGTCGAGGCGGAGGAGGCGGCGGCCGCGGTGGCGGTGGCGGTGGCGGCGGCGGCGGCGGCGGACGAGGCGGTGGCGGCGGCGGGGGCGGCGGCGGTGGAGGACCACCTTCTGGAAATCGCGAAGGCGACTGGAGATGTTCCAACTCTAGCTGTGGAAATACAAACTTCTCGTGGAGAAAAAATTGCAACCGCTGCAATGAGCCAAAACCTGGCGGCGGGGGCGGAGGTGGCCCGCCTCTTAGCGGAGGAGGCGGCGGTCGTAGCGGTGGTGGCGGACCTCCCAGGGGTGGGGGCGGTCGTGGCGGGCGAGGCGGCGGCGGCTGGAACGGTGGCGGCGGAGGCGGCGGCGGCGGCGGCAGGGGAGACCGTGGCGGTGACCGCTCCGGGGACCGCTCTGGCGACCGCAGGGGTTACGGCGGCGGCGGTGGCGGCGACCGCGGTAGTAGCGGCGGTGCTATGAGGGGAGACGGCGGGTGAGTTGTTTTAAAGACGTCTATTTAATTTATAACAGACAAACGAGAAAAAAAACCAGTTGCACTTGTTATTCCATAGGTAAGCTTACTCCTCCTAGGGTTAACTTTTTTCTATCAAATAAATTATTTTCGAAAATTTATCTCTAAAAATATAGTAGATGGCAAAAAGATGGAAAAAATATTGTATGTGGTTAATATTTTTAAAAAGAATAATTTCTAAGAACACTTTTATTGACAAAAATCTGCTTTAAGCGTAATATAGTACTTCGCCAACTATATTATTTATGCAGCGCGAGCGAGTTGGTGAGTCCGCGACGCTTTACAACTGACTACAGATTGGGGGTGGGAGTGTTTTTAGAATAACGATGAGCGATAAAGATGCCAGGTTTGGATGCGCGCATCCGATGCGACTGGATGCCGTTATTGGATACCGATGCCATCTAGTTTTTGTCAACGTTATAATAGCAACAGTGCCATAAACTTGTCTGTGCCGATGGAGATGTCGCTAGTGGTGAACAAATATGTCATAAAAATGTCAAAATGCTATAGATAAATTGCAGTTAAAATTTTTGCCATCGACACAGAAAAGTTTGTGGCAATGGACTGCGTTCAAAACCTACGCTCTGAGTGAAATTCTTTTGTAATGTTTTTGCCAGCATTCAATATTTTCAGTTACCATACCAAAAACTAAAAATGATTTCGACTACATTTTCTTGTCATGATTAATGGAATCGAAGAGACACACCTACACAAAACACCCATCTGTCATAATTTATATCGCATTGTATCCAGTAATACTACGATACTGACATTCACTTGCCATTAATACGATTCCGGCATCGATGCGCGCATCCGATGCGATTTATCTGATACCGATGCGCATCGACTTCACAAATATCTAACGCCCATCTCTACTGCAGATGTTTTTCCTCTCTGCAAAAGGCCGTGTTATGTTGCTGTCCGTTTCTAAATAACAAATAGAGAATTTTCTTATAACATTCATAACAAATTGTGATATTTGAGAAAAGTTGTTGCAAAATATTACGATTAAAATGCGGAATTTGTTATTTGTTTGTGCATTTTTTAAAAGCATAGAAGGCATTTTTTCATCTTTAGAACACAGAATATACTCAATAATGATTTCATAAGTGCACATTGTCATGCAGTTTGTTTGCTTAGAGAATTGTGTGCACGCACCTAATTTCAGCGGCGCACTTTTGAGACACTAGTGCCGTAAATTCCCTTTTTAATTTCATATAAGGCGATAGAAAAAAATTTGATTCAATATTTTTAGACGACGCGACGGCAGACGGTTCTGCGCCCCGTGTCGCTTCGCGTTGCATACGCCGCACAGTGGGTGAAAAAAAGAGGTCCCCTATCATAGGATTTTTGAAAAAATAAAATTGTTTATTATCAGTTTAAGGTGTGCGGTTTTATTGGACATATCAGTACATTGAATAATAAAATAGTTTGGGGAATTTCCTTTTAATCTTACACCATAAAGCACGGGCTTTAGAGTTTCAAATGTATGAAAACGGAATTTTTTTTGCTCATAACTTGTCTCGATCTTCTACGGTCAAGCTGAAACTTATAGGGATTATTACCGGGTCTGTAACGAAGCCATGTGACCTTTCACCTTCACCCCGGAATGCCCCGTTCAAAAGATACGAATTTTTCAAAATGGTTATTAGGGTAATATTACTTTACGTGGTTATGTGTCTCACTTATGTGTGTGTAAACAGTTTGTTTATGTTTCTTGTCCAGCATTTAGTTATTAATACAACACAGATTATTATCTAATAAAACTACACAGTAGATAACGACACCATACAACTTAACTTTAAATAAAAGCGTCCATATTCAAAAGATATGGAATTAATATAAATAGATAAAAGAAATAGTTTTAAGAAAAAGAAAACAAGAATACAATATTGTAAAAAATTACAATGAAGTCGTTTAAAGCCAACAATTTAATCTTTTGTTTGACAATCGCTTAAAAGTCGCACACCATTAACGTGAGCATCATTACATATAAACAATACAAACTCTATAGTGGCGGGTTTTGGGATATTCAATGGGTTACCCACAGTCATTACCTGCAATTGTTAGCCTATAATAATTACTGATTATTTGCTTTTATTGTGGGTAGGTGAATAAATAATACGTTGTTATTATTATTGAACAATGACTTCGATTATAATAAATACGGAGTACATCTGTATTTCATTTCACTTATCATTATTGATTCGTACCGTAACGTTCTCTTTGCTCAAATTTTAAGTTGCTCAGAATGGAAGGGCTTGTGTCTAATCTCGACGTATATAGGGTGAAATTGAATGTTTCTATGAAACTTCATGAGATTGTTGGGTTACGTGTATAGTTTTTTTTCGGATTTTTTTGAAGTATATTTTTTTCATGTATTTATTTATAATTTGTGTATTTTTATGTCCTTTCCTCCTTTTGAGTAGTTATTAATTTTAAACAAACAAACTTACATATCCAGTGAAAAACAACTAATAAATAAGCACTTCTAAAAAACGGAAAAACATTAAAATTCCACAGCGGGTCAACGACCGACCGCGCCCGCCAGCCGTTGAGTGAGTAGGTACTGTAACGTCCGTGATGTTACAACCTCCTTGTTTAGGTAAACTCTTTGCTTTTGCAATGCCTACGGTTGGCAGTTATATTAAAAAGTTAATGTCATGATTTTAAGATTTGAAATAAGGAATCGTCTGTCTTTTGATAGAAGATTCCATTCATTATTAGATCTTCAGGCGCCAAGAAATCCTCTCGTATTTAGATTAAATATTTTATATTCGCCTGAATGATAATACAAAATAAATAACTTATCGTCTGTCTTTTGATAGAAGATTCCATTCATTATTAGATCTTCAGGCGCCAAGAAATCCTCTCGTATTTAGATTAAATATTTTATATTCGCCTGAATGATAATACAAAATAAATAACTTATCTCTACCAGTATCTTTTAATTAATAAGCTCGTCCCCAGGTTCTATCCCTTCTGGGTAGAACTCCATAGTACCTACCTACCTCTACACAGAGCTCAGCTGACTCGTTTGATTCCACACAATACAATAAAATCGTCTTAGATGCCTTTATTGAAATTGAAATAATAAGCACAAATGTCATCTACTCTTAAGCAGAGAAAAACTTTAAAAGTTAATAATAATTTTGTCACGATTGGAAATAGGCAAATGTTAAACAAAAAGAAATACTTATTGCAGTTCAATACTTGGGTCAGAATGAAATTTATAACCAGGTATTCAAAAGTACTTACGAGACCGGCGATGTAGGTAGGTACAACGTAGGTAGGAACGAGGAACATATTCATTTTTTTCACTAGAAATTTTTATCAAATCAATCACACTGGTAGTACACAATTAGTTGTTTCTAATCAAAAAGTATTTACACTAGCAATAAAAAGAGACTTAAATTATTATCTGCAAAATTGTTGCTCTAAACCACAATTTTGCTGCAAACAAAGGTAGGCATGTTTGCGGACGTGTCTTTTCACCTTTTTTAAAGTGTCCCTATCACTAACTGCACAAAATGCAACTTCTATGGTTTGGGGACTCATTCGTAAACCAAACCTACTTCGTCACACTCGCGATAGCAGTACACCATCTCTAAATATTCTTGGTTCGTATACCGAGGCATAATGAAATTATCACAGTGTATGTCACTAAGTCAAAAGATGCGCACGCGCGATTGATATACTTGCGACTGCGTTTTGTATGCAATCAAAGCAAACCACCGCGTGCGGGGAAGAGGGGAGGTGGGCGGAATTCACATCATCAAAGACGCCGCAACCGGCGCTAGTTGCCAGCGTGCGGCGCGCCGCCCGCCCGTGCTTGCCGCAAAACAACATATTATTATGTGTGTGTGTGTGTGACTGTGGCTGTAATTAAATGTGTTGGGAATTTCATGACGTGGGCAAATCAGACACGAAGAGTTCCTTCCTTCACTAAGCTCGTAAGTTATACCGATTTGCTCTGTATAATTTTTCCCAATTTTAAATAAGCCGTTTGTGCTTAAGTTTTAATTAAACGAGGCAACTAACATTAACAATAAAAAAGAAGTTCTTACACTAACAGACAGGCTTTACCGATTTAAAATCGTGACAGTCATACTAACTTTATAGGATTTTTAATTGCTCTAACAGAAGATTTATTTTATTGATTAATTACCTGTGCTTTATGAAATAATATTCAAAGGTATTGTGTATCAGTGAATAAATAATTATAATATAGCATCTAAGACTATTTTATTGTAATGTTTTTAAATAGTGTGGATCAAAGCGGAGAGTAGGTAAGCGCCGAGTCATCTGTGCGTGTAGTAGGTATCTACACAGGCGGCCGCCGCGCCGGTCGTCGCCCCGACCGGCGCTGATCTCGACTGGAGGCATAATGAAGGCATTCATTAAGTTTCCGTTTTTTTAGTAGTGCTTATTTTAAGTTGCTTTATAACTTCTATGTAGACGTGTTTAAAATGAATAATTACTCATAAGGAAGAAATGACAAAAAAATAACCAAATAAAAAATTAAAAAACAAAAAATTTTATTTTAAAAAATCCGAAAAAAATCAGGCATACTCTATACACGTAACCCAACAATCTCACGAAGTTTCATAGAAACATTCAATTTCACCCTGTATATATACGTGAGGCAAAAATCTTTTAGTGCCGACATGTTATTTCAAAAAGTACTCGATTCAGTGAGATTTTCATTATCTGAAGAACAAAAGACAACTCTTAAAACGTTTTGTGCTACATATACTAGTTAGTAATCTTAAACGCAAATGGAAGTCAGCTAATTACGCACAAGGGCATTTTATAAAGAAGTTTGCTGACTGGTTGGACCAAGAAATAAAATGACCAGAGTTTGTTTCACTAGACATAACTGAAGAACAATCAAATATTATGTCGAGTTTTGAAGATCCTTCAACAAGTATTTCAACAGTAACAAGACCTAGTTTAGCAACAGAATGCACTGTTCCTCATAGTGTGGCTGTGTCGACATCAACCGCTACATTTAGTCCTCGAAAAGAATTTGCCAATTTGAGTCCACTGCAAAAAAGAAGAACTGAAAATCTCATTGCCGAAAATGATTTTGAGACCCTTGCTTATGCCCTGGCCAGGAAAGCGGAAAATGAAAACCAAACGGACTTTGTAGAATTAGAGAAGCATTTGATTAAAAAGCCTGAAGATGCGCTAATGCTGCGAGCCTGCCTGAAATCGACGAAACGAACTTATCATACCGATAAGGCACTCGGTATTTCAACATCACTGAAATTATCGAAATGGCAGTATATTAATTACATTGAGGCAGACAAAGAGAGACATGGTGTGTGATATACTTCCATCGTATGATGCTTTGAAGCAAGAGAAGAAGGAATGCTACGTTGAAAAAGAAGAAATGGTAATAACTGAGACTGAAGTTAAACTTAAGCTTCAGTCTATTTTAGATATTACGGTCAAGAGACTATTAAAAACTCTGGAAACTGATTTAACTGGCAGTAATTCGACTCTTATCAGTAAATGGGGGTTTGACGGTGCATCTGGGCACAGCAACTACCAACAAAAAATTGACGGCGATGATTCAAGCATCTTCATGTGTTCATTTGTGCCGTTAAAACTGGTGAGAGATGGTACTGATGAAATAATATGGGAAAACCCCAAAGCGTCTTCAACGTTTTACTGTCGACCCATTTATTTTAAGTTTGCTAAAGAGAACGATTTGAATGTTAAAGAAGAAATGACTTCAATTGATACGGAAATTGCTGCTCTACATCCAACTGTTATCGATGGTGCAAATGTAAAACACGTTCTGCATATGACGCTGATTGATGGTAAAATAACTTCACATTTATCAGATACACATCTACAGCTACATGCGATATATGCAAAGCAAAATCAAAAGAAATGAATGATATCGACAAGGTTACTCAGAGAACCCAGTCTGTAGAGATGTTTAAGTTCGGTCTGTCTTCCCTCCATGCACGAATTAGATGCATGGAATGTATCTTACATATTACTTACCGTCTCGACTTCAAGAAATGGCAAGCTAAGGGCGAAGATTTGAAGCAACAGTTAAGCCAAAGAAAAAAGGCTATTCAAGAACAATTCCGGACTGAAACGGGGCTACTTGTGGACGTAGTTAAACAAGGGGCTGGTACAAGCAACGATGGAAACACAGCAAGAAGATTTTTTGCTAATCCTCAAATTACTGCGCAAATAACGGGTGTTGATGAAGAACTCGTTAGAAGATTTGGAGTGATTCTTCAGGCTATCTCATGTGGAGTTTGTGGACGTGGAAAAAATGCGCCAATATTGTGCTGCTACAGCACGCAAATATGTCGAGCTCTATGAATGGTATTATATGCCCTCAAGCGTGCATAAATTACGCATTCATGGTGCCGATATAATAGAGCACAATAACTTTATACCAATCGGCAAGCTCTCTGAAGAGGCCTCTGAAGCTCGTAACAAAGATTTTAAAAAAATCAGAACCTTCCACTCGCGTAAATCTAGCAGGATTGCAACAAATGAAGATATTATCAATAATTTGTTAATATCGTCTGACCCATACCTATCAAGTTTCAGGCCTAAAATATGTCAACGAAATAAACCTCTCACAAATGAAGCTAAATCATTATTATTAACTTCTAGTGAAGATAAGGAAAATATAGAGTTTGTAGATGTAGGTAATGTATCTGATTATGACTTTGATTAGTATGTGTTCTTTCCCTCAAATCAAATTATATCAAACTTTGTATCTTTGTATCATATTAATATAAACAGTTTACGTATTTAAGAACTGTTGTAGCCAATTTGAGTTCTAATAATCTTTTATACTTTAGCTTGTATGTGTGTAGTAATTTATACAGTTGTGGCTTCCTTATTATGCATTATTTAATTTATGATATCAAGCTTAGTTAGTATAAGTTTTGTAAATAAAAATATTGATGTTAATAAATTTGTTTTATTCATAATGTAAAAAGTTTATTTTCTCGTTTGGCAGTAAAATATCAGAATCTCCCTTACTACATTTACTAATATTAATAACCAGCTAGTTTATCTGGAAAAACACTTTGTTCATTTTACGCTTAGTCAGTTAAAGATCTAGGTATCCCAAAATAAACATATTTGATCAAACCCTTTCTTAGATAGACATTGTAAGTATGTTTGTTTGACAAAATTAATTATTATAGGCAAACAATGGCAGGTAATGACTGTGGGTAACCCTTTGAATTCCTCAAAACCTGCCACAATAGAGTTTGTATTGTTTATATGTAATGATGCTCTCGTTAATGGCGCGCGGTTCTTAAGCGATTGTCAAACAAAAGATTAAATTGTAGGCTGTAAACGACTTCATTGTAATTCTTTACAATATTGTATTCTTGTTTTCTTTTTCTTAAAACTATTTCTTTTATCTATTTATATTAATTCCATATCTTTTGAATAAGGACGCTTTTATTTAAAGTTGTATGGTGTCGTTATCTACTGTGTAGTTTTATTAGATAATAATCTGTGTTGTATTAATAACTAAATGCTGGACAAGAAACATAAACAAACTGTTTATTGAGACACATAACCCCGTAAAGTAATATTACCCTAATAAGCATTTTGAAAAATTCGTATCTTTTGAACGGGGCCGTCCGGGGTGAAGGTCAAAGGTCACATGGCTTCGTAACAGACCCGGTAATAATCCCTATAAGTTTCAGCTTGACTGTAGAAGACCGAGACAAGTTATGAGCAAAACAAATTCCGTTTTCATACATTTGTAACTCTAAAGCCCGTGCTTTATGGTGTAAGATTAACAGGAAATTCCCCAAACTATTTTATTATTCAATGTACTGATATGTCCAATGAAACCGCACACCTTAAACGGATAATAAACATTTTTATTTTTTCAAAAATCCTATGAAAGGGGACCTCTTTTTTTCACCCACTGTGCTCCGTACTAGTGCGGCTTCGGCCTTAATTCAGCAATTTATTGATTTATTTTGTTGTTATTTATAACTTCTTTCATTGTTTCAGGGGCAGAGATCGCCAGAGACCATACTGAGTTTGAGATAGTAATAAGTCTGACGCTAAGATGTAATATAATAAGTGAAAGATAGTAATTAATATTAAGTTGTATGTAGAATACAATACCTTAATTATTAGTCATCTTTAGAATATGTTCTAATGAATCCCAAGAATTTTGAATTGAACGTACATTAATTTACTGTAGTAAGTTAATGAATTAATAGAAATATTAACTGTCTATTAAACAACTTAGTATAACGTGTATTAATTATGTTTAAGTATATACTAAATTGAACCATAATTATGATTATTTCTATAATGTAATAGGTTGATTGGCATTTTATCAAAACTACATTGAAGATCGGAAATGACACTTGTTCTTGAAGATAGATGACTACAGAACAATTAGTGAGTAGTATTAGTGACTGATATATCTTTGTGGTGATAGTTCAATTATAAGTCACAAAGGAGATATTCTGTCTGTATAATTAGCGAAAAAATATATTCATCCTGCTGCCACAGGGAGTGTCTGTTCTCTATACTCCTATAAGATATTTCCGGAGAATACTACTAGACTAAAATAAAAAACTACTAAAAAAAAAATGAATTGATTCTAATAAGGTAGTAGCTCCCTATTGAAGTGAGCACGATCTTAACACTCTTATTTAAGTGAAGTTTCGGTTGGAAGCTCTGGAATATATGTATGAATCCAACATTACGGTGTTTACTCTATTTCTATGGATTTGCCAAAAGAAATTTAAATGCCTAGTAGAATCTGCTTAACGTACACATTTTCATTAAGTTTTGTTGTAAACATTAAGCTTAGTATTTGTTGAATACAGACTTATTAGCAAGAAGTATCCTAAATAAGTGTGTTTATTCTGTAATAAATGTCTCTTTTTAGTATAACTGTGTCATTATTTCTTTCATAATTAAATTCTAATTATGCGAAAACAGACCAATACCATTACGGGAATTTCGGATTGTTCATGAAAATAAAAATGTATACTTTTTAGAATTTTATTCATTTTTAAATATGGAGTGGACACTTAAAGAATACCGTGTTGCAGTTATTGCGTTGCATCGTTGCGGTTACTCGCCAATTCAATTTTTTGACATACTGAAAAATTTTAATATAACCAAAAGATTCGTTTATCGTACCATCAAACGATACAATGAAGACTCTAGTGTAGATGACAGGCAGTGGCGGCGCTAGGCGTCGGCGACGTCGACCACCGCCGACGGCTTCGCGCCTGAGGGGGCCTCGCAAAAAATTTTACTAGTTACCTATTTATTTTCGTTTCTCCTGGCCTGGCTTAGGTAGCCGACCCCGAACAATTCGGGGAAAAAGCTAAGCAGA